GGGGGGGGGGGGGGGGGGTGAGGTACAGGTTTCCCAGAAGGAATTTTTTCTGCAGAACAGATCCTTACAATGAGGTCTCCATTAATAATGTGAGCTTGCTGTTGGTGTAAGTGCAGATCCATCTAGGGTGAGTTTTGGATAATTTTCTCTCTTTATATAAAACTTGAACTTCACGGAGTGGGAGGGAAGAAGCTATGAAAATTATCTTTTCTATATTGGTTGATTTAACTGTGTAATACACGTTAGAGAATTTTCAAGTATTAAATATTGTAAGGATTTTGTGAATATTTTTGTTTGCTGGTTTTTAATCTTTAAAATGTTTTTAAAATTAGGTTTGCTGGAACTTTTACTCTATTGAGATTCTACCTCTTCCATGGCTATTTCAAGCAATGCTTCATTCAGATTTAGCTTATGAGAACAGTGGTGATTTCTGTTCTCTTCAGTGATGCTGTTGACGCACATTGCAGGAAGTAGGGAATCCCCTATAAATATCCTTCACTGTGTCATTACCCAGCTATCCACACTGGCTGGTGAATATGCTTGTCTGTCCTTTGTCTTTACGTAACTGTCCCCTAGTCTCTTTAAATGTGATAAGAAGAAATATGTCGCCTTTGCTTTGTCTAGGGAGCTTTTGTGATTGTAAATATCCTAGGAAGAATTTGTTAAACCTTTTTACTAAAAGTGCATTTTGGTGTATAGAGGTTGTCATATTAATTTCTCCTGGTTTTACTGCTTATTTTGGGTTATTTGTTTGTTTCTTGTAATTGGCTTGTTTTTGTTTGCTGGCTTTGGTTTCTAAAGAGTGCAGAGATGGGATTCCCTCTACCTCTAGTGACGTAGAGATTTTGTTTGCAGTCTTTTTCTTCTGAGAGGGAGGGTACGGAGAGAAGGAAGAAGAGAAATCATCTGAAGCGGTGCGTTCTCCCTTTATGACTTGATGATGATATCTGGGTACCATTGAATAGAACTGAAGCCAAAGTAGGATGTGTTAATGATAGAGGGGGTTCTGTTTTGTTTGTTTCCTTTTAGAACAGACCCAGGGCAAAGTCAGGATTGCTAAAGCAAGGTGCCTGAATTAACCCTTCAAGTCTTGCTATTGATGAATTTTTATCTAACTGCTTTTTCTAAATATAGAAAGAAAAATAGCTCTTAGGCAGGTTTCTAGAACCTGGGATCTATTAATAATTCTAGGTTGAGTTTGGATTTAGAAATTTTTCTGCTTTTTTTGCACTGGTCCTGATCAGGCAATTTGTGCGTTGTTTTTCAGACCTTAAAAAAGGTAGTTATATAAAATTCTTTGCCATAGTTATAGTAAAATTTAAACTTTAATGTATATAACTAAAACAAAGCTTAAGGGTAAAAAAAATCATTAGATACACTCTTAGATGTGAGTATAACAGCCCAGCCCATCTTTTTTGGATTGAGTATTTGGGCTTCCAGTTCCTTTTTATGCAACTCCATTTTAATGCTGCTGATCATTTGAGGACTGCCTTCAGAGGTCAATTTAAAAAACTCATATTAGAACCTAAGAATGTATAAGAGTTAACTGATCTGTGAATGTGTGTTTGTTTAGCATATATGGAGATGTGCCTTTAAAAGATTGTTGATTTATTTTCTGTCTTGAATTTCTTTTCTGTGCTTTCATATATTCTCAATTCTTTGTGTAAAATGAAGATGAATAATGTCTGCTTTTCAGCTTATATTATATAGTCCTATTCTCTAAGGTAGCTTAGTTATATTATTATCTATTACACCATAAATGTTTCCAACTAACAAAATCTAACTACTTTATTTGAAAACGGCAAAGGTATTGGCAACAAGAGAAAGTAATCCTAGGGTAAATAAAGGCTATTCCAGAAGAAAAACCATTGAGAAGCTTGCCAGAGACAAGAGCTATTAGGTTAGGAGAAATTTCACTGCATTTTGCATTTTGATATTGCAGCAAATATGTGGATAATTTCTTGTTAGCTTTTCAGGAAACCCCTGTGGTGGACAACCCTCATTAAATGTTGCTGGGAGACTGCTTTGACGTCACTGGGAGCAGTTCCCTGTCTGCAACTAGAACAAGAATAGCCTTTAAGGGGTAAAGAAAACTGCTGTGAAATTAAAAGATGGCAGATTCATTAAATTGGTTTACCTCAGTTTGTGAGTGGGTAGGATAGATCTAAGTTCTTCGTTAAATGTATCAGTTATACCAAAGGGGAAATTATCAAAAGTTCATTTTATTTCAACTGAAAGTGCTTTCTTTTTAAATCTTTGTTTTCTCATCATCAAGGTTTTTTAAAAGGTCCCAGGAAAAAAGCTGTTGAAAGGTGTTAAAGAAGTTAGATTTCAGTCTCTTTTATCCTTCATTTTCTTTCACTTTTTTTGTGAGGGAGAAAAGTCAAGGGCAGCTTTTACAGAAATGTTTTAGTATTGCTCCAGGGTAATAGATAATGTGATACCTATTTGAAGGACCCTCACAAAATTGATAGGGACCATTTTTGTCTCTAAAAGGTGTTAAACCTACTTAATTTTCTCTAATTCCTCTTCTAGCATTCCGCCCCTGCCCTATTTTAATTATATAATATAGCCTGTTGAGAGTTTTGAATACTTGGGTTCGAGTTCAAATCCTAGCCATAGCCAGGTGTATTGGCTTCTATCTTCTCAAGAGGCTAAAACAGGAGGATTACAACACCCAAACCAGACTGGGCAATTTAATCAGACCATATCTGGGCGGGGTCCTGGGGGAGAGTGCTGGGCTCAGAGAGTTCTGAGGTCAATCTACAGTACAAAAAAAGGGGGGTGGGAATCCTTGCTTTACCAATTGTTGACTTTGTTACCTTGGGTGAATTAATTTGCTTGACCTCTTTATCTTCCTTTGTAAAATGAGTATTAAAAAGAGTATAGAAGGGCCAGGGATTTAGCTCAGTGGTTCTGCCACCTGCCTCGCAAGCACACCGTCCCGAGTTTGATCCCTGGTACCATTAAAAAAAAAGAACCTAAATCAAAACAAAACAAAACAAAAAAGTATAGGAGCCAGGATTTAGCTCAGTGGTACCATGCCTGCCTTACAAGCACATGGTCCTGAGTTCAATTCCTGGTACCAAAAAAAAAAAAAAAAGAAAAGTATAGGGTGGTTTTAAAGATTAAGAGTTAATACATACAGGGATGGGGATGTACTTCAGTGGCACCAGAACTTCCTGGCAAGCACAAGGTCCTGAGTTTGATTTCCAGTGAGTGGGGGTTGGGAGGGTTAATACATATAAAGCTTTCCAGACATTTCCTGGTTATTTTATTTTATTTGTTTTTTGAGACAGGGGCTCACTATGTAGTTCAGGCTGGCCTTGAACTCACTCTGTAGCCCAGGCTGCCCTCAGACTTTCAATGATCCTCCTGTCTCAACCTCCCAAGTGCTAGGATTACTGGCATGTGCCACTATGCCTGGCTAGATACTGAGTTTCTTTTTTTGTTTTGTTTTTTTGAGACAAGGTCTCACTGTGTAGTTAAGACTGACCTAGAACTCATTATGTAGCCCAGGTTGGTCTTGAACTCATAGAGATCCTCCTGCCTCAGCCTCCCAAGTACTGGGATTACAGGCATGTGCCACCACACCTGGTTTAGATACTGAGTTGTAAAATAATATAGTATAAATATTTCAGCTGTATGTTAGCACAGTTGATCGTTTCAAGGAGTATCTTTTCTAATTTGATGTTTATTGCTTCTTGGCCTTTGGGCTAAGATCAAGTATAATTTGATGTTCAGAACTTAAATTGTGAACATGTTCCCTAAAAATATTAGGAACACTACTATTATTCTTAGTCATTAATATTTTGACTTGTACAGAAGGTTGGTTTGGGGTTTAGTCTTGTTTTACTTTCTACCATTGGTATTACCTCTATTTTTCTCTATGTGAGTTGATGTGGTTGTGGTCTTTCTCCATACATTTGTGAGAATATAAGAGCTATATAAGTACTATATTAGATTTATATAATGTTCCTTAAAATCACTAGTGTAAAACAAAAACCGAGGAGTTTTTGTTTGAGTGTTTTTGGTGCTTGGGATTGAACCCAAGACCTTACTCATGCATATGCTTTACTACTGAGCTATACCCCAAGCCAAAAACTGAAGGATTTTAAATGGACAAAAATGTAAGTTACAAATTCTAACATACCCCATATCCCCATTACCTTTTATGTTCTTTTAATTTCATATTAGCCTTAGAGTGTTTTTTTTTAATGTTTTTTGAGGCTTTGTCTTTTTGAATTGCTTGTGTCACTAGTAATGTAACTAGTATATTTACAAGAGCCAGTAATGTGTGTAGCATTCAAGGCAAAGAAATTATCTCCCTGTGTAACTTTTTTATCCCTTTCTCATTTTTATCCTTGATTTCATAGGTCAGTGCTTCCCAAGAAGCTAGGAACACATACCTTTTTCTAGTGGAATGTATGGGGAAAAGGACTTAAACATTATTTAAAAGGAACCTGAACAGAAGATAATACAAAGTGAGAAGCACTTGCCCAGGTGAATGTTCTTACAAGTCCAGGGCACCACCATTGGACCAGGGACGTGGACATGATATGTTGCTGAAGGAACACTCAAGGAACACTAATCTAGCCCAGCACTTGGGAGGCTGAGGCAAGAGCATTGCCACAAATTTGAGACAAGTCTGGGTTTTATAGTGAGTTCAAGGCCAGCCTGAATCATGTAGCAAGACCTTGTCTCAAACAAACCAAAAAAGAAACAAAGAAAGACTTTTTTTTTTTTTTTTTTTTTTTTTGAGACAGGGTTTCACTATGTAGTTGAGACTGACTCTGGAACTCACTATGTAGCCCAGGCTGGTCTCGAACTCAACAGTGATCCTCCTGCCTCAGCCTCCTGAGTGCTGGGATTACAGGTGTGCGCCACCACGCCCTGCTAAACAGACTAATTTAATAGTGTAACTGGCAATGATTCTGTTAACTAGAGTGAACCAAGGGGAAAATTTTATCTCTGAAATTCTCCCCCCCAGTACTGAGAATTGAACTCAGGACCGACCTTGGGCTTACCAGGCAGGTGTGACACCACTGAGCTACATCCCCGGCCCTACAAAATTCTTGAATGCATTTATCCAGAGGAATTGATAAGAATTGTGAATAAAGATTCAACTACAAAGATGTTCTCACAACATAATTTTATTATGCTGCCTAAATGCACAATAATAGAGTAATAGATAAATTTTAGTACATGTCTATAATAGAATATGACTTTATGTTAAAAGTAATTTAAACCAGGCATTGTAGTACACTTCTGTGATCCCAAGTACTCCGGAGGTGGAAGCAGGAAGATACCTGTGAGTTCCAGGCCAGCCTGGGACCTCCACGGTGAGTTCAAGGCCAGCCTAAATTACATAGTGAGACCCAGTCTCAAAAAAAAAGGAAAGGTATTTGGTGTTAATAGTTGGATAAAATATGGTGTAAAAATCTTGTTATGTAAAATATTTTTATGAAAACATTCAGTATGGAGACAAATGAAGGATATGCCTAAAATCATTGCTGTTATTAATGGTAATAATTACTGAGTATAGATTATGGGTGATTTATCTTTCCTTTTCTATACCTGTGTGTTTTTTCTGTAAGTATAAAGAAATTTGCAAGCCTGGGATGGTGTCCTAAGCCTATAATCACAGCTACTTGGGAGGTTGAAGTAGGAGGATCATTTGAATCCAGAAATTCCAGACCAGCCTGGGCAACATAGTGATACCCTGGCATAAAGAAAGAAGCCTTCTAAGCTGGGCATGGTGGTACATGTCAATAATCCTAAGGGTTACAAAATTCCTATAAGGCAGACGGATCACAAGTTCAAGTCTAGCCTACTTAACTTTGCAAGACCCTGTCTCAAAAAATAAAAAGAGCTGGTCATGTAACTCATTGGTTTAATCCCCACTGTGAAAGAAAAAAGGAGGGGGCGAAAAAGGGAGAGAAAGAAGGAAGGAACAAAAGGACGAATGAACTGTATTTCTCTAATCATAAAAGCATTAAAAAATTTAAACTCTACTGTTCGTATCTTCAGGTGGAGCTTTAGAATTTGTCAGTTCAAATAAATGTGATGACATATGTCAATTCCTTGAACATAGTGTTAGGAACACAGTAAAGGCTTAATGAATGAAAGTTACTGCTATTGTTATTACTTGAGAAAAATAGCTTTCTCTAATCAGAGCACAGGGCTTTTGTATTGGAAGATAACAGTATTGAGAAAATACTCTAATCATGCAGCTTCTTGACCTTCTAAAGTAAGTAAATATGCTCTTCTATACCTACTAATCTAGGATCTTTAAATGGGGGGTGGCTAGACTGAAACGTTTGGTTTTTCATTACTATGGTATAGAGCAGTGGAGGTGAACCTGTGGTATGTATGCCACAGCGGATATTTGTTACCACTGAAAAATCTGAAAGGCTCATGATCACTGATACAGAGGAATGTTCATATTGGAAGACTAATAGTGACTTTGTGGTAGGTTTTCTTTTTAAAATAGCTTTAACATAATTTCTGACTCCCATTAAAAATTACATCTCTTTCCATTTCTGAATTGTCTCCTTAAGAATTAGGAAATTTGAAACAGAACAGATTTTCTCAGTCAGTTCCAAGAATCTGTGACATTTTGCCTATTGCTTCTCAAGTCAGTCCGCCCTTGTGGATCCCTTGAAACTCAATACTGACAAAGACACCTAGACATCCATCTACTTCAGGCTTCTTTTGGGACTGAGATGGGATTTAAGAAATTAAATTCAAGGGCTGGGGATTTCAATGGCTCCACACCTGGCTCACAAGTGCAAAGTCCTAAGTTTGATTCCTGATATCAAAAGGGGGAAAAAAATCAGCATGAAAACAATTATCTTGAAATCCATGTGCTACCTTAAAAGATGTAATTCCAGCCGGGCGTGGTGGTGCACCCCTATACCCCTAGCACTTGGGAGGCTGAGTCACGAGGATCGCTGTGAGTTCGAGACCAGCCTGAGCTACAAAGTGAGTTCCAGGTAGTCTCACTACATAGTGAAACCCTGTCTCAAAAAACAAAACAAAACAAAAAAAGATGTAATTCCATCACAAGAAAAACCTTCATCTGTCACCTTAAATTATGTTAATCTCAATGACATTAGTTTTGTAGATGTACCAGTATTTACTTTGTAATTTTTTCTTAGTTTTATAGTTGAATAAACAAGGAGTTCAGGAAAAAAAAAAAAAAAAAA